TGTAAATAGAATTTATAGTTAGTTACCAAAGTGTGTTAAACCAAAGTGTGTTGAACCATAAACTGTTATCTAAGTGTGTTAAATAATGGTCTGCTTGACAGGAGTAGGTACTCCTAAAAGGTTTTTTACAATGTAGGTCCATAAAGGATAAGGTCTGTTTCTCATCAAGTATGGGAATCGGATGAACTTTGCCCTGGGAGTAAAACTTAAAGGAAAAAACAACTTCCCAGTCTTTGTGAAACTTTCTCAATAAAAGGAGCTGCAGTCCTCATACACTTTGGGACTTAAGCCAACTCTGCAATGCTGTTGGTCTCTCTGCTCCCCCTCGCAGTGAGTAAAAAGTACAACGTTGTCAGGTGTGGTTCTTTTCAGGTCATTTTATCGGCGGCAGTTAGATGACAATGAATGACTGAATAACGTAATTTTCGGCACCAACAAGGGCGTAATAAGATGGAATAAGATGATGGTATAAGATGATGATGGTTCGCGAGCAGTGGCATAGTTCGACACGTGATTGTTCTAGACCATATGTGTCAAACCCAAGGCCCGGAGGCCAAATGCTGCCCGCCGAGCTGTTTTGTGTGGCCCGCGCGAGCTTTAAAAGTATTTAGTTAAGTCCATGCAACAGAGTTTCTTACCTGAATTATTAAACAGTTTTTTTATTACACAGCAAATGAACAATATTTGTAATAATAATCAATTACAGAAACATGTATTAGTCTGTTATGGGGTAGTTACATCTATACCAGCGGTGCCCGACCTTTTTTGTTGTTGCCTGGGACCTCCATCCATTATCGCACGCTTATCCGAGGCGAGGTCGCGGGACCTGGGACCTATTACTTTAAAATATTGCCAGTTTATCTTTAAATATATTTTCTTTGAATTAAGTAAATTAGTAAAACTCAAGTAAACACTGTGTCCCGCTGTGGCCTGGTACCAAATGACCTATGGACTGGTACTGGTCCGTGAACCAGATCTATACTGTCTTCCATTTATAACCGGCCCTTCAAGGGAAACTGTATTGTTGATGTGGCCCCCGGTGGAAATGAGTTTGACACCCCTGTTCTAGACCAATCGAATAGCTGATTGATGTCAACACTCCGGCAACCTGGCTGCCTCCATGGTTTTTCTTCTTCAGTGGTCTTCCGTAACCTCTCCCCTCTCTCTCTCACACTCGAGATGCCTTTTTGCTTTTGCAATCGCACTTTTGTTAAAACGAATAAAGTGTTTGTAGTTTTCAGCTACGTATCGGCACTCACCCCTCAACCCGACCCACCGTTGTACAAGAGTTAAATCCTGATTTTTTTTGTGCCCTGCAGAGGCCATGTCCATATAGCACTGTTTAGGTCCAGAAGATTTTGTTTGGTTTAACATAGCTCCTTTTTTATGAACTAAAGATTGTGTAGTTCTCAGACATCGGAGCCGAATTCAATTTCTGAAAGACTTTTCGTGGTTCACCTTACGGCCTATAAATATGGCATTAGATAAAGCATAAAAGGTGTCCAGAGAAAATAAATCTTATGGCACAGTCCTCACGTGTCAGTGGTGGATGACATTACTGTTACAGTATGATTCGAGGTTGTGGTAGAATTTGGACAAGCCAACTTTTGACAGCCTTTCACGGTGAGCACTTTTGTTCACCTGGTGATGATAGATCCTCACTTTTCAGCATGTGACCTGAAAGCCTCAAATTGTGTTGTCAGGCTGTCTTTTATACCGGACTTAGCCGCTGTCAGATTTTCCCATCGCATATAGGTGGAGAGCGCAGTTTTCTTTTTCTAATAACCTGAAAATGACAGTAGAGTCGGATAAATTTTCCCATTTTTTTAGTGCATTTTGCCCACGCAGAAAAGGAAAGAGGCCAGTTCTCACCCTGTGGCTTTAATTATATAAAGTTAATACATTACTGGCACATCATTTGAATGAGGGACAAATGGGTTGGGGTTAGTGGTTTATGTTCCTGCCCTACAGCAAGATGATTAATGGTTTGATCCCCACTGGTAACTGTGTAGTAATAACACTACATGTGTGTCCATGTGTGAGTTTTCTACTGGTACTGTAGTTTTGCACAGTCTGAAAATATGTGCATAACATTAAATGGACACATACATTGAATATAGGTATGAATGTAATTTTGCATGTAGCCCATATGGTGAACAGGCAACCTGTCCTCACTTAATGACCTTAGCTCGCCATGTGAGCCTGACAAGGGTTAAACCAAAAACCAACGGATGGATCATGTGACTCATACTGATCCTCAACTCAAGCATTTGTGGTCAATACTTCTGTATCTCCTTCATTCTTCTGAACAAATGGAAAATACACCTGGGCTGATAATGAAGTAAAACCTCATCACAGTTTCACCTCTCATCCAACAGGCTGAAGAAGCCTCTTCAACCTTACTATTTCATCTGTACAACCTTACCATTTAATCTGTTAAATTACATAAATGTTATTCAGACAATTAATACAGTCTACTCATTGGCTGATGTGAATATGGCAAGACACATTCTTTATTTGTTGCCTGGGGCTGTCATTTGTCAAAAGGGTGAAAGGTGTCCATTCCAAATAAAAGATTGGGCAGTTTGACTCCGGGTGTAGGCCAACATTAGTCTTCAGCTGACGCTTAATTCAAAATTGCATGTTCCGTCTCAGCCACAGAGGGAGGAAACATTTTCTACTCAAAACTGGGATAATTGGAACGTGTCGTGTCAGGAAATGTGTTTGCAGTTCTTAAAATCTGTGTCACAACACAGATGAAGCAGAGAGCTGAGAAAAATTATCCTTATTCTTTCCAGTATCTCTCATCATAAGTATGAGCATTGCCGGGGGAATTCAGACTTTGAGTTCAGAACAGTGCTGATGAGGTTGCTCTGAGAGATAAAGTCAATTTCAACTTGAAGATATTTCCAGTACGATACTGATGTTTGAACAGGATTTCACTCTATGTGGATACATGGAATTTAGGTTACATAATTTGTTGTAATCACTTTTAATCAGCCTTGATGAGTAAAAGTCAGGACAGAGGAGAAAGAATCTGATGCAGGACTGGGAGCAACAGTGTTCCCATGTGTTTCCCATGTGTCCACTAGTTCGAATTATTAGAACTTCACAATAATGTGGTGCCTTTTTAAAAGTATAAAAAAATGACAAATAACATATTTATAGTAATATAGTAATATTAATAATAATTACATATCTGTACTAACTGGAATGTACTACATATCTGTACTAACCTTTAAGAGCTGTCAAGTTTACTTTACAATTCATATCACATACTTAAACAAAGAAATACAATCTCAATACAAATACTATACAATTTATTTGCCTAAAGAAAAGACGTATAGAAATATAAAATGCAGGAATATAGAAGCATTGCTGTAAGAGTCATGTGGGGGAGGCTAACATGGAATAAGTATGTTTGGAGATCAGCTGTGGTGTTCCAGAGCTGGGGGGCACAGCGGCTGAAAGATCCATTTGAGATCCATGGAGGACAAACAGGTAGGTGGGGTAGAGGGGGGAGATGAGCAGAGGGTCTGACGAGGAGTGCAAGGTGGTAAGAGTGTGTGTAAATTTGAAGGAAGTGAGTTCAATAAACAGCAAACATCTTAAACCCACCGCTGTCTTTACTAACATACAAACCCATAGACAAGGCGTGAGACTTTTTACTCGCAGGCCACAAATAGCCCTAAAATTTGACAGGAGCAGATAGATGGAGCATTCATGTGAAATGTGATAAACAACATGGAAAAGTCATGCATAAAGTCTAAAATGGTTTTAGCCTTCTCTATGCCATCTGTGAAAATGTGGACATTGCAGGGAAAAGGCGGAAATATAATCACAATACAAACCAATTGTATAATTTGGACAAGTTTGGCCCTGAGTATCCGAATGAACCTAGGAGCTATGTTGTCGGGGGCTTAATGCCCCTGGTAGGGTCTCCCAAGGCAAACAGGTCCTAGGCGACAGATCAGACAAATAGCCGTTCAAACCCCCCCTTGATGAAGAAAACAATAAAATCAGAGAGGTTCACGACGCCCGGATTGACGTCACCAGGGCCCCACCCTGGAGCCAGACCTGAGGTTGGGGCTCGCAGGCGAGTAAAGCTGCATAGACCTGGCAGACCCAAACATATCGTGAGGGTCTGTTGGGAACGTCTGGCGTAATCCCCCCCTTCAACTCCCACTTCCGGGAGAGCTTTGAACAGGTCCCGAGGGAGGCTGGAGACATCGAGTCTGAGTGGACTATGTTCTCCACTTCCATTGTTGGCGCGGCTGTCCGAAGCTGAGGTCTTCGGTGCCTGTTGTGGTGGCAATCCCCGAATCGGGTGGTGGACACCAGAGATAGGGGAAGTCGTTAAGCTTAAGAAGGAGTCCTACCAAACCTGGTTGGTTCGTGGGACTCCTGAGGCAACCGACGGGTACAGACGGGCCAAGCGGACTGCGGGTAGTTGCGGGAGTAAAAACTCGGGTCTGGGGAAAGTTCGGGGAGGGCATGGAGGAGGACCACCGGTCGGCCTCGAAAAAATTCTGGCAAACCATCCGGCGCCTCAGGAAGGGGAAGCAGTTTCCCACCACTGCTGTTTACATCCCATCTCCTGCGCTGAGGTCACCGAGGCAGTCAAAAAGCTGCTTGGTGGCGCCGGGGGTGGATGAGATCCGCCCTGAGTACCTCAAGTCTCTGGATGTTGTGGGGCTGTCTTGGTTGACATGTCTCTGCAGCATCGTGTGGCAGTCCGGGACAGTACCTCTGGACTGGCAGACCGGGGTGGTGGTGCCTCTTTTCAAAAAAGGGGACTCGAGGGTGTGTTCCAACTTTCGGGGAATCACACTCCTAAGCCTCCCGGGAAATTCCAGTCTATTCCAGGGTACTGGAAAGGAGAATCCGGCCGATAGTCGAGAATCCGGCCGATAGTCGAACCTCGGATTCAAGAGGAACAATGCGGTTTTCGTCCTGGTCGTGGAACATTGGACCAGCTCTATACCCTCCACAGGGTGCTTGAGGGTTCATGGGAGTTTGCCCAACCAGTCCACATGTGTTTTGTGGACTTGGAAAAGGCTTTCGACCATGTCCCTTGTGGTGTTGTGTGGGTGGTGCTCCGAGAGTATGGGGTTCGGGGCCCTCTTCTAAGGGCTGTCCGGTCCCTGTACGAACGGAGTAGGAGCTTAGTTCTCATTGCCGGCAGTAAGTCGGACCCGTTCCCGGTGCATGTTGGACTACGGCAGGGCCCTTGTCACCGGTTCTGTTCATTATCTTTATGGACATAATTTCTAGGCGCAGCCAGGTGTCGGGTTGGGTCCAGTTTGGGAGCCACAGGATTTCATCTCTGCTTTTTGCGGATGATGTGGTCTTGTTGGCCTCTTCGAACCAAGACCTGCAGCATGCACTGGGACGGTTTGCAATCGAGTGTAAAGCCACAGGGATGAGAATCAGCACCTCTAAGTCTGAGGCCATGGTTCTCGACCGGAAAAGGATGGTTTGCACCCTTCGGGTTGGGAAGGAAGTCCTGCCTCAGGTGGAGGAGTTTAAGTATTTTGGGTTGTTCACGAGTGAGGGTAGGATGGAGCGTGAGATTGACAGGCAGATTGATGCAGCAGCCACAGTAATGTGGTCGCTGTATCGCTGTATTACACGAGAGGAGCTTGAAGTAGAGCCGCTGCTCCTCCACATCGAGAGGAGTCAGCTGAGGTGGCTTGGACATTTACATCGCATGCCCCCCAGACGCCTCCATCGGGAGGTGCTCGGGTGCCGTCCCTCTGGGAGGAGACCTAGGGGAAGACTTAGGACACGCTGGAGCGACTACATCGCTCGGCTGGCCTGGGAGCGTCTTGGGGTCCCTGTTCGGTTTATTCTAACATACGTATGTGACGACAAAGTAACAACACAAAAGACGTCTGGATCTTTTACTTGCAAGGGGAGAGTGCAGCTTGCCTTGCTGGCAGCCTCCTCATCAACTCCGAGTTGCTCCACCCTTCCTCTGCTCTTTTATTTAGTTTACAAAAGTATCAGATTACATATCATGTGATCGTGTGTGAGTATATGAATGGGTATGGAGTAAGAAGGTGGGTGTGAATGTGGGTGTGGCTGTGTCTGGTAATTTCTCCATCAGCCTTGAGCACACTAGATTATAATATGAGAAGCAAACAGTTCCTTAAAGCGACAGTACAACATGAAGCAATGATAATAAATTAAATTCTTCCAACAGTCCCCCCAGAAGAGCTGGAGGAAGTGTCGAGGGAGAGGGAAGTCTGGGTGTCCCTGCTCAGACTGTTGCCCCCGCGACCCGGCTCCGGATAAGCGGTTGATGATGGATGGATGGATGGATGGATGGACAAGTTTGGTGGGCCAGATTACAAAGGTGAACTGTAAGGCATCTAGCCCCCAGGCTTTAGTTTACCCATGTCTGCCATAGAGAAATGTTTTTAAGCCTCAGCCCTATTCCAACGTCCACCTGTAGATTGGATCTCCAGGCTACTTGAGAGATCAGATTACCATACCTTATACCATATGCATAAAATCCATGGGGAGTGATAAAACCATATTTGCAAAGTAGTGTAAATGTTGAGTGGTCCAAGTTAAAGGTAGCACCCAGATTTTTAAAAGCCTTGAGATGCTCTTAAGGTTCTCACATGGTACAGAAAATGTCTTTATTTTGCATTTGCCATGAAAGGCACTTGTGGAGTTCCACCCAGAGAATGTACGTACTGTATGTATGCCAATCAAGGCTGAACACACACTGGTTCCTAGAGCTGATGACACCTTGGTAATGTCAATGATGCGTGTCCTGTTGCTTGTCCCTGTGAAAAAATATAAGCTGCATGGTAAATTTGTCTGCAGATTTAGAGCAATGACTGCCACATCAGGCCTGGGCTATTAATGATGAGAGTTGTGTGCTCCTGTGCAGCATGCTGTGCATGCAAAAACATCCTTGTGTCACATTCTTCATGATCACAATGCTGGTGTTCAACAGCATGAACAGATTGTACACCCACTACTATAGTCACACAGTGACATTGATCCCTATGTGTTATGTACAAGCTGAGGTTTTTGGCCACTCCTGAAAGGTCTGCATTACCCCTCAACCTGAGCCACCCATGTAGACTCTTCTTGTACGTATTCCACTGTGCAATTGTGAAATCTTGAATTGTTTCGTGCTTTACAGAGGCTATGTGTATATAGCACTCTTATATCCTGAAGTTCTGGGTTTTTTCTCATTTTTAGTGAGTTTTTCACTTCTTCGGTATTGCAAGATGAAACTCTTCAGGCAGCCTTCTTGCTTTTCTATTTACCAAAAGCTGCTACCCTATTGGTGTAGTCCAGTCACGTATTGACCATGCCACCTCTCGCGCACAAAATCTTATTGTGCCCGGAAGAAGCTAGTTCTGTATAAAATGTCCCGTTATAAAAAAAGGGGCAGGATTTTTTGCGATGAACTTTTTGCTGTAAGCTTAGCATAGCTCATTGTTTTTATGAACTAAAGATTGTGTAGTTCGCAGATGTCGGAGCGGAATTCAATTTCTGAAAGACTTTCTATGGTTCACCTTATGGCCTAATTAATTTGAGTTGGATGGCAAATATAAATATATATTTGAGTTGGATAACAATATTACGAAGTGGATCAGTAAACTTGGTTTACTGATCCACTTCGTCCCACATCTGTCCTCATCAGTGGGACAGATGAGGAAATCTTGTCAAATATTTGGGTTAGGGTTTTGTTTTTAACTCATTTAACTTATGTAGTATATGTGTTGTGCTTCCTTTTTGCCTGCGTTTAGCTATAGAAAAAAAAATCATCTGATATGAATGGTAGCAAAAGTAGCCAATGGAAGTGTGTAAGTGAAGTAGATTAAAGATGCATTTTAACACTTGCTGTATCATTTACATGTTATTGGTAATCATTGATTAATGAAAAAGTAAGACTGCGAAATTACTCTGAGGTCTGCAATTGCCTTGCGAAATTGTCTTACTGACTTAGTCGTATTATTATTATTATTATTATTATTATTATTATTTCTAATAGTTTTTTCTTTTATCATTTTATGCTTCCATAATGTAGTGGTAATTACTCCTGCCTTATACACAGCAGCTTCTGGGTTCAAGCCCTATAGACACCACATACTTAATAATACTCTTGTGGTGACCTGTGTGGGTTGCAAAGATTTACCCTGTGAATTTCCCCATTGTGTGATGCTGAGCAGAATAAGGAGCAGGATTTTTTTAACTCTCAGACGTTTTTAACTCTAAAGCAAGGACGTGTGACACTTGATGAACCTCTTAGACTGCCAGGTTGTTTACTAAAGTGTGCATTAGATGATCTGTCTGACCTCGGCTCGAAGTGCGTGAGGTGGTGAGAATACATTCAAGACTAAAGACCAATCGCCAAACCATTATTGAAATTCCATCTTTTGTGTGCACTAAAGCACCAATGCGTTGTCAGAGGCCTGAGTCTTTAAAATATCTGTTTGTGTGTGTGTCTGAGAGGTTTGACGGCTAACTCCTGCCTATAGAGTAGGTACAGGAGGATATGGAACATATGGAAGAGAAAGGTAGGCATTGACCAACAATTGCCGACCATAGGGAATGGATCTATATGTTAAGCTCTGCACCAATGACAGGCAACTTCCTTATCTCATAGCTATCTTAAAGATGCACTTTATGCACTTTTTTCATAAGCTTCTTCACTGTGGCCATGTTTCATAAGTGAATCTGAATGGTCCTTGCTGGGAAAAGTGATGCAGAACATCAACACTTGTACACAGTGACAACATTTTCTGACACTCACTCAGATAATCAGGACACACCCATTAGTGTTGGTTCTTCAGACGTTATTGCAGGTGAGAACTGAACTGGAAGAAAGTACTTAAAAATTGACAATACTAATGTTCGTAATAACAACA